ATATATTTCGAGAAGGGCGAATCCAGCCATTAGAGACTTGCTTGGTGCTTTCGATGGCGTGGTGTTTTATATAAAGAATAGACGGACATGTATGATAAGCGTGGAGGAGTGCCGAGGGAGACATGCCTTCGTTTCGTGCGTTTTTGAGTAATTTGCGGAGAATCTCAGTCTCAAAACATGACATCCATGCCCGTAGTTTTTGAAAAGGGCGAAGCCAGCCATCCGCTGACTCTCTAGATCTTTGGATAGTAGCGGGAGAAGAAGGAGGAGCAACTGTCATGCTGTTTAAATAAAGAGAATCCAGAGGAGACATGACCAGCGGCGTTGTGGCATTTCAACTAGTTGGCGGAGACTCCCAGCCCCAGAGCCATGAATATGACCGATGGCATTTTGGGAAGAGCGAGGCCAGCCATGAAAGACGTTTCTGGGGCTTTCAATAATGCCGGATTGGAAAGAAAGAGCAGCAGTCATGCGCCCAGTCGAAGTGCTTTTCCAGAGGAAACATATCCGAGCCGTTTGAGGTTTTTGGGTAATAGGGAAGAGGCGGGCAGAGCAGAAGACATTGAATCTTTTGCCGCAACTTGTAGATCAGGTGCTCGAGAGACGAGCCAGCCATAGTGATGTAGTAGGTTGCATTTTGGATAAGACCGGAAGTAGAGGAAGAAGCAGCAGACATTGATCCTTCGTCGGTCACATTGCGGAAGCAGACATACACCAACAGTGTGTCTGTTTTGAGTCGCCAGCCAGAAGAGAGCAGCGGGCATGCTGACTCCTTGCAACGCTTTCCAGTGGAAGGGTGCTCAGCGGAGCAGACATGTGTGGCGGTTGCTGGAATTTTGGTTGTTCCGAGAGAGAGAGTCAAAGAGACGAGAAGAATAGAAGCCATAGACGCAAGGGCTTATGATTTTAGAGAGATGCTCGACGAACAGGTCATACTACGTTTTTGTACCATCTTCGGGATTCCAGGTAGTGATCAAAGAGGCGGGAAGGACGGAAGACATAAAAGCTTGTCAAGGCAGTTTTAGAGGAGGCGCTTGACGAACGCGCCATGCGGTCTTAGTCTTCTTTTTTGAACACTTCGAGTGATCGGTGGAAGGCGAGAGGAACAGGAGACATCGAGGCGTAGATGTGTGATTTTGGACAGATGCTCGACGAACGCACCATGGCAACTCTTAGCCGTCTTTTCGAGAAACCCGAGCCGTCGACGAGAGGCAGGAAGAGAACCAGTCATACAACATGTCCCTATATGTTTGGAAGAAGTGCCCACCGAATGCACCATCGCGGATTCCACCGTCTTTTTGAGAAATCCGAGGCGTGGACGAGAGACAGGAAGAGAACCAGTCATATCTCCTTATTCGCGAATTTTGGAAGAAGTGCTCGACGAGCGCACATTGATATCTTGGTAGGAGCTTTGGGAATTTCGAAAGTAGAATTGGAGTTGTCGTCGTAGTTTGCGGAGAGGCGGGAGGAACGGCGGACATCGAGAGACGGAATTTTGATTTTGGAGGAAGTGCTCGAGGAAGAAGTCATGTCGAAAAGTGATCTGAGATTTTCGTGGATAGACGACGGAGTGGTAGGGTAGTAGTCGGAGGAGCAAGAGAGGAAGACATCGCGAGTTCGATATGATGTTTTTGAGAAGAGGGCGGGACAGGCGAGCCATATCGTCGTCGATAGGAACTTTTGGACATTTGAAATCGAGGAGTAGTGTAAAGAAGAAAGGAAGGAGGACACATGAGCGAAGTTTATATCCACCACCGAAAGACGAGACAGGGAAATTTGTCCCATGGTCACATGCGCGCAGCGTCCAATCCGCACCCACGCAAACCAAATCCATTTTCATTCGCACCCCACTAATGAACCATAGTCTCCAGCGTGCCCACCGGCCTCTCAACAATATCAATACACCCATCCACAATACTCTTCCGCGCCGGCTCACTACTAACATTCTGCCCACCCAGATACAACAACCAAACCAGTCTCCCCACCCTCTCATCCTTGACCTCCCCCAACCAACTGCTCTTCCCCATCGTCTCCTGCTTATCCCCCTTCTGCACAAGCGGCTGATACAGCGCACCCAGACTACCGCTCTTATCCCTCGTTAGAATAATAACAGAGCCTTTTGGCGCCTTCCCCTTGCCCTGGAACAGATTTCGGAACTCCTTCATAGCGACGCCGAAGGACTCGTCCTGGAACTCGCCTTCCTCGACGGGCTTGGGCAGGGATATGGATTTATTTTCAGCAGCTTGTTGGCGGAGGAGCTCGGCTTGCTTGCGGCGGACTTCGTCGGTGCGCGAGGCGATGCCGCGCATCCAGCCGTCTTGGAGGTGCTTGAAATCTGTGCCGCGGCAGGGGACGACGCGGAAGGCCATGTCGACGCCTGCGGTGCCGTCTTTGGCGAGTATAGACTCCCAAATCTTGTTGCTCTTCTCCGGGTCGAGGAGGGCTTCGCGGAGGTCTTTCTTCTCGTTGGGGATGAGGGCGGAGGCGGTGGGGTTTACGGTGTTGATGAGGTGGTTTTGGAGGGTGGATAGGTGGGCGGTCTTGACGTACAGGCCTACGACGTAGACTTGGACGCGCAGGAAGGAGACTTTGCGGATGCCCAGACCGAGGAGTGTGTATTCTGCGTCGCTGGTGATGGCTTCGGGGCCGGCGGTGTCGGTGGGGAGGCGGATGGTGCGCGGGAAGTAGGGGACGTAGGAGGTGCCTGTCTCGACGAGCTCGATGGCGTCGGGGTCTGAGGCTTGCGGGTTGTCGGTGTCGCCTGGCGTAGCAATCACCTTGTCGCCGGCTGCGATGACGATCTTCTTGCCCTGAAACTCGTCTGCTGCCTTGCGCGGTGCATCGCACTTGGTGGGCGGGCCCATGATCATGTCGAATATGCCCCGACTTGGCTTCTCATCCTTCTCTCCGGGTGGTGGCACATCCCATAACCGGACCAGGAAGATGGGGGCTATCATAGAGAGTGCAGCACCGAGAGCTAGCCAATTCCGCCTCTTGATCAACTGCGCACGGCGCATGGCCTCAGCGCGGTGTACGGAGACGAAGTCTTCATCGGGGCGAGGGACCTTGGGACGGGCGCCCTGCTTGAGGATGGCCTCGAAGTCTGCTCTGCTGGAGCGCGAGCCCTGGCGGAATTGGGGGTTGGAGCGCAGCGGCGCAGGCGTGTTGAGGCAGCGGAATATGGGCCGTCGCGCGGCAAATCGTATGGAGTTCATGGTGGCTGCATTGACTGGGACAAGTCACGATGGGTGGATTGAGACTTGCAATGCGGAGGAGCAGCTCGGACCAGGCCTCGATGATGTCGTCGCCGGCCCGGAAGCGAGGACCTTAGCGCGGCTTTCACCGAGGCGCGTCGCGTCAGCCCTACGCGGTAATGCTGTGATAGATTGAGCCTACCCCACGCCCACTCACTTACCACACACGATGCCTCTACGAAGATCACGACAGGCTGTAACCCAACAATCCTCACCAGTGCCAATACAGTCACAACGAAGAAGGCGAGATGAAACCCCTGAAGATGAAGACATCGACATGGAGGACGCCATCAGAGAGGCGCAGGGCAGCGGCAGCGTTGATCAACTAGCAAAGGGTCTGGTGCGGTATGCCTTGTCGTGCGAGCATTCACGGAAGCCCATAAAGCGCGCGGATATCAACGAGAAGGGTGAGTGCATCGACGATTTCATGCAAGACGAGACTAATAGTTGCAGTCCTCGGCTCCTATACTCGCCTGTTTAAGGACGTCTTTTCCCATGCCAACAGCCAGCTCATGGACGTCTTTGGGATGCAGTTCGTCGAGCTGCCCAAAGCGGACAAGGTGACGCTACGACAGAAGCGCGGTATGTATCCTGTCTTACTATGATGCGTGTGATCTAATATGTCCAGCTGCCGCCGGCTCGGAATCCCAAAGCAAGTCGACCGGTATTTGGGTCCTGCAGACGATCCTACCTGAGCAGTACCGCATACCAGAGATTGTCGGCCCCTCGCGACCATTAGCAGCCGACTCAGACGAGATAAACCGAGAAGACTCATACGTCGGGCTGTATACCATGGCCATCGCCCTCATTGTCATATCTGGCGGTATAATCCCAGAAGGCAAGCTAGACCGCGCCCTCAGGCGCATGAACGCAGACCAGACGACGCCTGTTGGTACCAAAGACAAGACGCTTGCGATTATGGCCAAAGACGGGTATATTGTCAAGATCAGGGAGACGCCTGCCGGAGGCGAGGAGACAGTAGACTACATTGTCGGACCTCGCGGCAAGGTCGAGGTTGGACGAGAGGGCGTCGCGCAGTTCATACGGATGATGTTTGGGGAGAGCGAGGACGTGGAGGAGCTGGAGAAGAAGTTGCAGAGGACGCTGCAGGTGGCGGACGCCCTCAGTGACAGTGCGCCGGTTGAGGCGACTCAAGGTGCATCGCAGGCGGCAGGGCGCAAACGCGGGCGGCCGAGGAACGACGACGATGAGTAGTATGGCGGATGATTTACTGATAGAGACGCCTTTGATACCCTATGTAGTTATGTTAATGCTCTTTACTGGGAGACCAACGTCATGTTGAGTGATGCTAGCTCGGAGCTCCCCTCAAGGGACCCAGTTGTCGAGTTGCATCATCGGCGGCAAGCGCCAAAGAGCTGCGGGCAGCCGTCACAACAAAGACACGAAGACCCGCGGCGAGGAAGGCGATATTGAGGCACATGCAGTGGCTTGCCATTTGTCAGCGTCACGAGGCACGTTGAGCTGGTAGGTGTGAGGTAATAGGTGGCAGGCGCAATGGTAGCAGGCGGTCGAGCAATGCCTGCATGCTGTCAAGGCTCACGCAGCTTCGCCCGCCCCTCAAGCGCTTCTGCGCGCCAAGCTGATTGAAACGGCTCTATTTTCCACACCACCCGCCCTTTCTCCTCTCGCTCGCCTCGAATCTACTTGCTCTTGTGTCCTCGACAGTCCCTCCATTCCCTCCATCCCCGCCCCGACATGCCCGCTTAGGACAGACCGCCAGCCACAATGAGCAGCATCGACTCCCTCCTCAACCCCGACGCCGGCCTGCAGCGCCGCCCGTCTGCCTCGACCACGACCGAAGACGCTGCCGATGCCCTGACGACGCTGGCGACGCTGGGCAGTGGCCAGCAGTTCGTGCCCGCCCCGACGCGCGAGCTGCCCTCGCCCACGGCCTCGTCCCACGCGCCGCGACGCACCAGCAGCTTCGGCTCCCACCACGCGCCCGTCGAGCCCTCGCCACCCCTCGACGAGCCCCAGGTGCACTCGCCGACGCTCGAGCACTATCACCATGGCTCAAATTCGCCCGAGGAGCAGAAGCGCCGCCAGTCGCTGCTGTCGAGGACCTCGCCCGCCCCAGTCCTCGCGCCAATACAAAATTTGTCCTCGGCCCTGCAAGAGCAGACGCAGGACGCCCCCATCGGCCAGGACGTGTCGCAGGTAGTCACATCGGACGACGGCGAGCGAGACAGCACGCAGAACCGCGAACCTGCATTCACGCGCGACGAGCCCACCTCCCAGATCCGAGAGCCCGCAGCGACCACCCTCCAGCCTGATTCACACAATGGAAACGCCACCCTACCTTCACCGCAGCCTTTTATCAAGGACGAGCCCTCTGGTACACCGCGCGAACATACGCCTGCAGTCACTGCCTCCCAGACTGAGCGACAAAGTTCCGTGACTGGCGAGAACATGGACGCCGACACACTCAAGGCGCTCGAGATTGCCAAGCAGAGCGACCTTGGACTACGAAGACGGAACCAGAGCGTGGTAGAAAGCGCCCCATCGCCAGTCGAGTCCAAGCCAGCACCCGCCCCGGCCAAGAAGCGACCAGCGCCATCGTCCGCTTCCGCCATCAAGAAGAAGGGCACCGCGAAGACGTCCAAGCCGAGTAAGAAGCGCAAGGTCGAGACGGAAGATGGCGCGCGCTCTGTCACGCCTACCTCGCGGATACCTAAATCGGCGGGCAGCAGAGCTATGAAGAAAGGCTCGCACGCCGGCACACCTGTCCCTGGATCCTCGCCCGCCCCAGGTCACGAACACGCTACCGACGACGACGGCGAATCGTCCGAAGACCACAACCTCTACTGCATATGCAAGAAACCCGACAACCACAAGTGGATGATCGGATGCGATGGTGGATGCGACGACTGGTTCCACGGCGACTGCGTAAACATGAGGCAGGTGGACGAGGAATTGGTCGACAAGTTCATATGTCCGCAGTGCGAAGAGAACGGCAAGGGCAACACAACATGGAAGCCAATGTGCCGGCGGGACGGCTGTCGGAAACCTGCGCGACTCAATCACGGCAGGGAGAGCAAGTACTGCTCCGACGACTGCGGAGTTCTCTTCATGCAAGAACAACTACAACGGACGGCAGGTGCCAAGGGCGCCAACGGGACGAAGGAGAAATCCAAGAAGAAGAAGAAGACTGCGGAGACTGAAGGCGCAGAGGAAGAGGAGCCGACACCACTTGGAGGCACACTACGAGCCAAGGACCTCAAAGCCCTCGTCGACGCATCGCCAAATATCCAAGCCTTCAAGAACCTCGGAACCGGCGTCCTCACACCCCCACAAACCGCCTCCCCATCCCGCGCTACATTCCCCTCCAACGGCGAAGACCTCGCCCTGACCGCCGGCGAGATCGAACGCCTAACCGCCCTACACAAAGAGAAGACCCAACTGAAAGACCGCCTCGAAGTCTTGAAAGACCGCGAGAAGTTCGTCAGCATGGCAAAAGAGCAAGCCGTCCGCCTCGCCGATCGCGAGAAAGTCAAGGCGAAGGATTTCTGCGGCTACGACTCGCGCCTATCCTGGTCGGACGCCGAATTCCTCCTCTGGCGCAACAGCAAACACGGTCGCGCTGCCTTCCACCACTCCACCCTCACTCCTACCCCAGAACAAATCTCCTCCACGCCCACACCCACGACCAACGGCGCCGACGCAATGGACATCGATGTCGACGACAAGGAAACCGCGTGTCTGAAGAAGCGCTGCCAGAAACATCCTCAGTGGCAGAAGTTGAATCTCCAAGATGCACGCTTCGAGGAGCTGGAGGTTGTAGAGGCGATCAAGGAATGCGAGAAAGACGAGCGCAGTGTAAGGGATAGGGCGAGACGGAGAGGCGCAAAAGATGGGTTAGCGAAGGAGTTGACCGCTAGTGAGGATGGGAGTAAGGTGGAGAGGAATAGGGAGGGGTGGGTTGAGGTTGTTGCGTCATGACAGCAGTCTCATGATCGTGAACTATTGGAAGTGGAAGTAGGAGAGGAAGGATGAAAGAAAAAGCTTGGATAAAAGGCATTGGATATATACCCCCATTCCTTTGGACGCGTTACCTACCGCGTACACTCTGAGTATTTGGGCGTTATGGCTTATGGAAAATCAGCGATATATATTGCTGTCTTTGGAGCTACATGCTGGGATAGCGGGTTTCATCTTCTTTGCCGGTCTTGCTTCGAGAGGCGCAGGTATATGCAAGGATATAGCGAGTTAGTATGGTTTAATGACTACTTTATTCTTGATACTGCATCGTCTTGTTGTCGTTGAAGTGAGGGCTGTGTTAGAGGGCGCGAGGTGGTTGGGATGAGATGAGTTGGAGGGGAGGGGTGGTGATGTGGGCCGGCGGCGGCGTATAAATACCTCGCGCACTTTCGCTCTTCCTTGCTTTCTATATACACACTCCCAATTCTCTTTTCCAAAAACCCAAAAACGGGTACGACATGGCGCTGTCCAAAAACCAATGACATCGAAACATGTTCTTCCCTCGCTCCTCCTGAGTCTTTCCAAAAACTTCAGTCACGTACTCCATGGTGTCGCGGCAACCCTCCCACGCATTACTGCAATACGACGTTCTTTTTCAAAATCACACAACTGGTATTTTCATGAGCGGCGGAGTTGGAGTAGGAGATCGGATATGAAAACTACTTGACGGCTGCTGGACGTTGACTTCTACATCAACATTCCGGTCTTCGCTTTTCCAAAACTGGCAGAAGAGAAGGTCATGGAGATACCGAAAAGGCGTGCAAAAAATGGGATGAGACTGTCCTCCGCCTTCTTCTTAAACATCAGCTACGAGCTCGCATGCGAGCTTCCGCTGTTTCAAAATCAGAAACAAGATGATCGATGGAGATCGAAATCGAAATCGAAACTCTGGATGACGCCGCTGCCTCCTCTTTCTGCTGGTATTTAAACACTTCTTCTCGCGGCTGAGATCTGGTTTCTTACACCAACATTCTATTCTTTCCTTTTCCAAAAAGAACACTACTTCCAGGCATGGAGATCAAAACCCGAGGCACTACAGTTCATGTGGCGTTGCATTCCTTACGTCTTTCCACTACAAAACCTGCTTCCAAAATTCAACCCAGAGCCACACATGCACCTCCAAATCTTCGCTTCACCAAAAACACACAATGAGGGCGACCATGGAGACGAAAAATCGGTGTACGATAATTAGATGTTGCGCCTGCGCGCGTTCCAATTCAACTCAACTATAAAGATCATAGGATCGGCCTTATGTCTGCCTTCTCTCCAACGTCGCAGGCTTTACTTCCCGAAAATATCCAAGAAATGGTTGATGGGAGTTCAAAAAAGAAAATCGGGCATGTGTATGTTGTGCGTCCGCCTCTCGTTCCTCAGCTCACAGATGGCATTCGAGCCGTAGCCTCAAAGGAACTTCGTTATGCGCGATGTCGCGGCCTTCGCTTTCCAAAAATGTTGCATCCGAATCCTCATGATCGGAGTCGGAAACCAGCACCGCAATATCGCATGTTGTGCTTCTGCCCGCAACATCTCTAGGCTTATATAAACTTGCTTCCTGGTGGCTGGATGTCTTCTTCTTTACTAACATTCGGTGCCTTGTTCTATCAAAAAACAACGTCCGAGTCTATGATGGGAGTCTGAAAACCGATTGAAACATTCGACATGTTGAGAGTGTCCTGTCTCCAGTTCCGTCGCATATAAAGCCGTCTCTTTTCCGACAACAAGAGCTTCACTTCTACACCAACCTTCTGAGTTGGACTTTTCAAAAGGCTTACCACGCCTTTCCATGGAAACCAGAAAAATGGGAAACTATCAGTGCATGTTGTGTGCCTGCGCCTCCTCTTTCTGTTTACACAAAAGTCCATAGTCCAGTTCTATGACTGGACTTCCACTTGAAGACGAACATTCCGGCTTACTTTGATCAAAAAGCCCCATCGAAGTCTACAAGGAGAGTCAAAAAGCACAAAGACCAGAACGATGTTGTGTGCCACCGCCTTCTCTCCCCACGTATATAAAAGCGACTTCCTTTGCCGGGACTACTCTTACACTTCAATGCTCCTTTTCCGGCTTACTTTCCTCAAAGGCTACATTGTCTGGGGCATGGAGAATCAAAAATCCCTGCACACGTCAAGATGTTGCGTGCCTCTGTTTCCTCCCTGCACGCTCATACAACCTGCATATACTTTGATCTTCGGAAAATTGCTCCAAAATCATTTCGCGCGCTTGGAGGAGTCAAAACACTTCAAAAGCACTATATGGAGACGTAAAACAAGGAAGCGTTTCGCAAATGTTGTGCCTCTGCGCTCTCTCCACTCGCATATAAAAGCCCGCCTCTGTTGCGACTAAACTTTTCCTTCTACACCACTGTTCCGGCTTTCTTCTATCGAAAAGCAGCGTGAAAGCTCACATGGATATAAAAAATGACCTCATCTACCTGTAATGGTGTCTGCCTGCCTCTCGCCCTTCCGCACGCATACCAAATAACCGCTCTTCGAATATCATGTCTTCCTTCTGGCCCAGACGTCCTGGCCTGCATCATTTCAAAACGATACTAGCAGTACCGCATGGAGATCTGAAAATCTCCCAGCAAGAGCCTCATGTTGTGTGCCTCCGCTCTCGGCTTTTCTGCTTGCACGCAGCACTACCAGCCTTCCGAGAATTAGCATTCGTCGTCTTCGATGGCACCTTCGCTGGTGTCTACCGAAAATGCATGGCAATGCACAAATGAGAAGCTCAAGAACGGAGATAACATCTGGATGTGCGCTCGTCTGGTTTGACTGTCTTTCGCATATAAATTCCACCTTGCGTGGCTATCGAAGTATCCTTCCTATACCATCACTCCAGCTTCGAGTTATCCAAAACTACCAACGAATACCTACATGAGATCAGAATCTCAACTATCTTGCCTCATGTGGCGTTTTCGGCTGTCTCCGTGAGGCTCGCAATCAAAATTTGTATTCCAAGATCTCGACGACTGTGATTATGTCTGTTCTGTACCAACATCCTGGCATCAAACATATCAAAATCTGTTCGACTTCGTGGAATGGAGACCGAGACGCTTTTTGGAGTACGGTATGCGGTGTGTCTGCGCGTCTCCGCTCAGCCTGCACATAAAGTCCATCTTCCGCGGTCTACAAAAGTCTCCCTCCTCCACTACCACCCAGCTTCCACTTACCCAAAAACATTACAAATTCCATGATATGGAGATCAAAACTATCCCAACACCCGCCCATGTGGCGTTTCCGGCTGCCTCTTTTTAGCCCGCGTTCAAAACCTACCTCTCAAGGTTTCGAGCCTTGCAAGTATGCTCCTGCTGTACAGATGCCCTGGCTTCTTGTAGCTCAAAAGATAACGCACTGCTCCTTATGAAGATTGAAAGGAAACCAAGATGCGTACATGCGGTGCGCACGAATGGGCGTCACATTGATGGATCGCGGTACCAAAGTGATCTTTGGCAAAATCGAAAATGTTGAAATATCGGCCGGGGGCTCGGCGCGCCGAGCCCTACATCATTTAACCCACCTAATCGCGAGCAGGCTGCGGGGGCCCTGCACCTTATACTTATCCCTATATACATATACAGTTGCTTGCAACAAATACTCGATAAATTCAATTACGTACATGCGGTGCGCTTGCCTGTCCCTGTTTGGTCCACATATAAGATACATCTTCCAAAGAGAACTGCAGTCTCCCTTCTGCATCAATACCGCAGCTTCTAACTGTCCAAAAACTGCTCTCACTGGCTCTTATGGAGCTCGAAAAAGGTGAGGATATCTGACATGGTGCTGGCGCCTGCCTCCAGTCAGCTCGAATATAACATCACCTTCCAACGACTATCGGGTCCTCCCTCCGGTCCCGCTACACCGATCCTTGGAGGTTCAAAATAGCGGCAGTTCGCCCTCATGAAAACCAAAAGAGATGTTCGATGATGTCATGCTGTGCGCTTGCCGATCTCTATGCGACTCGCACCTCAATCCTGCCTTCTGGCTGGCATTGGAGTATCACTTCTACATCGATCTCATGGCTGTTGGTGGTTCAAAGATGTTAATCATCTTCGCTATGGAGATCTAAAAACATTCCGTATTGCACTATGCGGTGCGCCCGCCTGCCTCCGTTCTCCTTGCTTATAAAGCCTGCGTCCTTACAGCTGTACCTCTATTCATCTTCCAAAACGTCCCAGATTTTATTCTTCCAAAATCCCTGAAAAATATCCCGATAGGAATTTAAAAAACCATACCTCAATTTACCATGTCAGGCGCCGGTCAGCTTCCGTTTCGGCTGCATATATAACCCAAGTTCCGTCAACTCAGCTCTTATCTAATCACCAAAACGTTACGGACTTCACTCTTCCAAAACTATCAAGCATTCACAGAATGAGAATCTACAAAATCACGGTAATCGGCTTCATGGCGTGAGCTTGTCGGCCTCCCCGTTGTGCGACAGCGATAACCAGAGCGGAATTCCTCATGGAGTAGGGACACGTGGATGTGATGATCTGCGTAGGTGTTCGGAAGCTTCGCAAAAGGCACTGCGCTGAATTATGCCCGCGGAGGGGGGCACAGAGAACATATTCCTGGTCTTCTAGTTTTTTGGAGGGTTGGTAACGCCTACTGGCTTTTTGAGTTGTTCGGTATACCATCTCGCGGAACCTTTATACTGCCCGGGTGGGGATCGCGCTAGACCTGCGTGTATAAAATCCTTCCTCCCGTTGGTAAGTCCTTACTCCTTACGACCACCACAAAGAGCCTTTTATCCAAAAAAACATAAGCTGATGTCATGATTTTCGAAAGAGTCTGGTGGAGATAGCATGGTCCTGCTATGTCCGTGGGTGCAAACCAACAGCAGATAACCACATGTTCAGAATGGCATCGGAATTCTGACTCGGAGATTCGATGGATTCAGTCGTCCGGGGAAGTTGGTCTAAAATCAAAAGGATTATCGCCGATGAGTCGGTTGCTTGCTTCCGTTCAATGGCCACCGTAAAGATGCACACGTCTTTCGAGCAACGGCATTTAAGCCGAGAAGCGTATATAAACTGACGTTGCGCGAGCATGACTCCTTCTCTCTCTATATCAGCGCGACCTGGCCAATGTAATCAAAAGTTCTACCGAAAAGTCTGATGAGGGAGTAGAGTGGATTTGAGGAGAGTCTTGTGCTTCTGACTTGTTGCTTGACCGGAATCACCGGATGATTACGCGATGCATCGCGGACTGTCTAGGTGGAGATGTGCGGAGATATGTAGCTGCCAGACTTTTGCAGGACATCCTGTTCTTCTATTTTACATCTACAAGATACTGATGTTGGGAATAAAAGCCGTTGAGACTGAAGTGATGCAAGAAGATTGGAAGGTATGGAGGCGGCGCGATGTGCCGAAGGACCTCGCAATATTCAGTTACCATTGGATATTCCGCGGAAAACAAGTGCTCGAGACGAGTCGTTGCGGTACAAACAAGTCGGGAATACCTGGAGAGTGAAATGACGAGGAAGAGAAGTGGAACTAGCGTCACACGTGGCGACGTTTTGAGGTAACCTTTTGACACATGGTCTAGCGCAAAGACGTCACTTAAAGTTTCCATGTCACCGTTCGGTCGCTCCCTTCCAAGGTTTGAATTCGCCGTTTCGGCAGTTCCTGTGAAAACCACGATCGATCAGCTGGTGCTTACGTTGCTGCTTCTTCCCGCGAGGTCACCCCGGAATGATCTGGCGGGGTAAAGTTCAACAATCAGGCACACATCGCATTTCGCTTCCAAATCGCACTTACCTACTGCCACCTCGGTCAACATCCAGCCGACATCTCGGTCAAGATGCCATCCTGAAGTCGAAGCTTTCGGAGCTTAGCATGCCACGTCCGGCATAGCGCAGCGCTAGAGCCGTTCCTCGGATCAGCGGGACCCGCTAACGATCACCCGTACCATACTGCGAGTAGGAAGATCGGCCCTGGTTTCGGCACACCAAGGCACCACCACTGCACGTCTTCTGTCAGTGTCCGCTACTTGCATTGTAGCTCTCTCGACGAACTATTCGAGCCGCTGTCGGACCTGCCTGTCCCGCGCTGGATTAAGCCAGGTGCTTGCTTTTTCGATAATTTCCGACCTCACTTCCACATCCTCACCATCAGTTTTTGGTACTTCCACCGACGCTGCATCTTCCCTTGTTCAATTGCCGTGCCGAGGCTCGATGCCGATCGACGGCAAGGAGTAATCATTGGGGGCTCTCCTTGCGGCAGGCTCCAAACCACAAACAGCAGGCAAGTATACCGAACGTGGTAAGGCCAGCAATCCGCGGACCCGCATGAGCGATTCAGGACCTGCGCCTAGAGACTGTGAGGCGCACCGGGTGGTCCAGTGTCCACCATGGTGCAGTCGCTACCCCGAGGCACGAGGAATGCGCTTTGCCATGTCATTGGAGTTTTGAGACTCAACCCCCACTTTCCGACTGTTTCGAGTAGACGGCATAGGATGGAATGTTCCATGCCGCTTCAGCCACTATTAACACTGAGGAGTTTCGAAAAGCCATGCCGCGCCACCTTTCATCATCGGTATCCTGGAGTCGAAGATACATATGACATACGTGTTTGACACAATGGCGTAGATGCATGAACAAAGACACCGAATATCCGTCACGACACCTCACCCGCAATCCCCGTTCCTGGTCATGAAGTCATCCGAATCGAGAAGGTAGAGAAGATCTCTACCCACTCCAGACGGTGACAGCCGGTAGGCCATGCGTCGATCGAGGCGCCTACGGGATAGACGGCCACGATTATGACTTAGTGCTCCGAAGCGGATGCAGGTTCCGTCCTATTCGGTGTAGAGGTGCAGACTGGGGATCGGCGAGTGAAACGCGCTAAGAATGTCTGCCGAGGTGAGGTGGGATCTATGGATAGTAGAGGGTGCTTTTTCCTATTACACACGGGTTGTCTATGGGGGGAGGGTGGATATATAAGGCAGAGACGATCCGCTGTAATACCCGCATCACCCTGACGATAAGATCATCAGCTCTACTTCTCTCACTGTCGTACTCCATACATTCACTCACATACCCATACCCATCTTCACACATCAACCATGCGATTCTCCACCATCCTTCCCGCAGCCTCGCTGCTCGCTCTCTCCACCGCCGCCCCCGTCGACAACCTCTCCACCCGCGCCGCATGCTCTTCCTACACCATCATCAACACCCGCGGCACCGGCGAGATCCAAGGCGAATCCTCCGGCTTCCGCACCATGAACCGCAACATCCAATCCGCAGTCTCAGGCGGCAAGATCTACAACACCGTCTACGCCGCCGGCTTCAGCCAGAACAGCGCTGCCGGTACCGCTGATATCGTCAACAAGGTTCAGTCTACACTCAGGACAAACCCGGATGAGTGCTTCATCCTGGAGGGATACAGTCAGGGTGCTCAGGCGACGGTCAATGCCATGTCTCAGCTCACTGGCGCGAACTTCGATGCTGTCAAGGGTGTTTTCCTTATTGGTAACCCGGCGCACAAGAGTGGACTGAGCTGCAATGTGGACAACAACGGTGGTACAACGACGAAGAACGTCAATGGTCTGTCTGCGGCGCTGAGCAGGGGCATTCCGGATAACTGGCAGGGCAAGACGCTGGATGTGTGCATCTTTGTAAGTCTCTCCTTTATCTCATCACCAAGGCGTTTACTAACAGTGAATAGGGCGATGGTGTATGCGATACTACACACGGCCAGGGCATTAACGCTCAGCATCTTCAGTACCCCAGGGATACTCCCACGCAGAACTTGGGCACCCAGTATGTTACTAAGCAGCTTGGTGGTAGTGCTTAGATGACTTGTAGCTTATGGCTACGTGCGCATCACATTTCGGCTTTGTTTTGTTCCGTTTTGTGAGTGGGTGGTCCGGGTATGACTTTCATGTATATATATCTATGAGAATGAATTGGTAACAGGAGCTTCTTACACATTATAAGCGTGAGTGAGATGAGACTATGCCAGATATCTGTCTCCCATGTGAGTATCGGGGTTGCTCAAACTGATCGTGACTAGAAACGCTTCCAATGTACAGTACAAACAAGCACTCCTGCCGGTTAAACTTCGCCTGACAGCAGTAAGCACTAGTAACTACCGTACACTAAATCCACGTCAGCCCCCGGCCCACCTACTCTCACGATCGCGAGGAACAGAGTTTAGTTCTTTCGGCCCTACAAACGAGGAGAACCAAGGGTATACATGGTAAACTTGGTGTCAGGCTACCTAGATCACCATCACAACACTCAGTTCGGTTGGAGACAGCTAGAACACCACTAGAAGCATGGATAACGGCCGCTAGTACCGTTGATGAGAGAAATGTAGGGCTGAAGAAAGGGTTATGCATGTTCGTTTGGATGGAGATGTCGGGCAACATCGGCAGATGGGTTGTTCGTATACTCTTCCGACTACCGCAATACACACGAGATACACGATGACTATATCCGCCCATTGAATAATGGAAGGGATGAGAAAGACGTCGTATACTCTTCTTTCAGCTCTCTCGGTACGGACATTCTACAGAACCCTGAATACGGGATATTCATCCCCCACCTCCAGCGGAATCTTGTTATAATACACCTGACTCGCTTCCCCCTCCGGTTCCAATAGCGTGAACGCATATCCGGCATTCTTCTGCTTTGTATCAACGTAAAACCCTCCAGCGGGTATTGTAACAGCACGCTGCGTCGCATTCGTCGTGACTGTTGTACCCGCGATGCCTTCGAATTTCGTGTCGGCAAGCTCAGCCTTCGTTGCTACTAGTGCTTCGACAGTTCCGATAAAGTCTTCCTCCAGGACATCGACGGTGACACCGAGGATGCGGAGACGCTCGGCTACATCGGCCCAGGCGCGTGAGAAGACGTACGCTTTTGGGCGGGGACGGGATAGAGTGACGATGGAGGGATCGCTGTTTCGGGAGCGGACGGGTACGGAGACGAGTGAGCCGGTTGATGCGTCGATGAACGGGACTGTCTTGTTGGTGATGCGTTGTTCATAGGTTACGACGATGTCGTCCTTGCTGTCGACGAATGCTTTACGTCCGGCTTCGATGGTGCTGTATATGTCGTCAAACTCATCCACTGCTTTATTGAGAATCGTTTCTAGCACAATGACATGCGAAGCTACGCGTCGCTGAAAGTGCTGATCCGCAATAGCGATACCACGCGTCTCAACGAGAAAGGTAAGGGCCTGGTAGTTACCAGCACCCTTGTGATTCGCCGCGGCAAGCGCGTCAGGCTCTTCAATCGTTATCGTGCCATTTGCGACACTCGTGGTGAAATATGGGAAGATCCTGAGGTCTTTGCTCTCGGCAACTGCGAAGATGTCGTCGACAAATTCCTGGTTCAACGCTCGGATGCTGGGGTTGACATTTCGGTTCTTGTTCGCGGAGACAAGAAGATCCTGCGCGCGGATGTACTTTTCCGCTACCAAGTTGCCGCCTGTGTACTCGTGGTCGTCGATGAAGATGTGTGGATCGAACTCAGACTGCAGCTTTCTGATAGCTCGTGTCTGCTGTCGTTCGAGCACTGCATGATCACGGTTGGGATCGTAGTTAGAAGCCAGTTGTCGCTGTAGGTACTCGACGCCATCGACGTTGTAACGCGGGATGATCGTAAGATCGATCTTCTCAAGGACTTTGGCGCTCCATTGAGAGTCCTGCGCAAACTTCCCTAGCAGTGCAAGTACCCCCTCATCGCCTGCAGGCTCGTTTCCATGTTGGCCTCCTTGGATCCAGACACGTAGTTTCTTACTGCCTTTCTTGCCATTTGTTAATGTAACGTACGGTATCGCGCGGTTTTCCTCGGATCTCAGTTCGCTGTTGTAGGTGATCCATCCGTTGCGCTGGGTGAGGCCTTTTACGAAGCTCTCTTCAACAGATTAGCAAGCGTGAAGAATTTGTGATATCCGGAACGTACCCAAATCACGCTGCGGGGTCGGTCCGGTGGTGCCGTTCGCAAATGTCGCTGGTACATTCTCTGGGTTTATGAAAGCCGGCGACAACAATTGAATGCCATCGACGTCGGGAAAGTTGGCCGCCACTTGTGGTGCATCGACAATTACCGGACGTATGTTGCTGGCATATCGATCCGCGATGGTCGTCGTTACGTAGAGTGGAAGTACAGCTAAGACTGTTTTGTATGAGGCCCTCATGATGATCGATGCGTTCACGATCGACGTCCTTTGGAGTTCGAAGCTAACGACTTAGCAAATGGTTCAAGAGGTGCGGCGAGGTACATCTCTCGCTGAGAATGAGGCATTGCATGTTTATACGTCAGCTGCGCGTGCTGTTTGGGTAGTCGTGATGTGTATGCATAAGCACGTTATCAGGCATGGATCAGGAGCGGATGTCTGCATCCATGAGAATCTCGCAGCCATCTTAACGTCTTTTCAGCTGCTAAGGTCTTGGTAGTACATCGAGCTTCCTTTCGCGGTATAACTTCAGCATGACGTGAGTGGGGACGAACGGCAGTCGCGAGGGCGGAGAGGAAGAACGCCTACTACCGCCTTCCTCCGCTCCCGAGCTGTTGGGCTTGGCAGATGGCGTCATGCAGATCTATCGGCATCAACCCGACGATGCGATCACACCAACAAGACTCGATCGTAGAATATCGAGCTTCAAACATCGGAATTCTTCTACAGCTTGATCACCACCAAAATTCCGACCATCTTCAACCCTCAGTCCACCTCAAGCGGCGGCGTCCCCAGCTCATTAACAAACCTCCCACTCCTCTCCACCTCCATAACCCACTGCCTCCAAGGCTTAAACACAATCCAGCGATTCATCTCACTCGTCGCTTTTCTCTCCTCCTTGCTAAGAAACTTCACACTACTCCCATTCCCTCCTCTACCCTGACTCCCCGCCAACAACATCGCCCTCGTTTGCACCCTCGCATTACTCGCAGCATAATACGCGAAGTCCGTGACCTGCTCCACGCCATCCCCCACCGTCACAAAGCCATGCCTATATGTCAGGATTGAAAATCAGCTTAAACCCACACGTGGATCATGATACCAGGGGAATACTTACCCGCGCATCAAAACCGTCGTATGCAGCGGCGACGTAACCCTCGTCCCATTCCTCCCAAACATCCCCGCCAGTCCCCTCCCCAACCTCACACTATTAACCAACATATCCCTCGGCTCCCCCTCCTCATACACACCCTCAATATCAAAGTTCGGTACCTCTCCACCCAGAAACCCAGCCATATGGTACACAGGCTGCATCCATCGCATCCCCTTTCCATCTCCATTTCCATTTCCATAACCAGCAGAATCTAGAACAGTATACGGCAGCACATCCTCACTATGACTATGCACAACCGCGTTAACATCCGGATATCTTTTCATTATCTCACTGTGGATATAGCGTTCCGCATATCCACCGACCGTACCGGGTAAGGGCGTGCCGTCAGCGATGTAGTATTCGCCTATATCAGCGGGGGAGGAGACAGTCGCTGGGCCTGTGTTGTTGATGGTGAATCAGTTTCCGTGGTCTTTTGATAGTGAGAGCGTAGAGATGGGGTAAACCTACCAATCTGTAATGCAATGAAGAAAGTGGTATTGGTGTTTGGATTGCGAACGCTGATGTGGCCGAAGGGGTCGAGGACGGCGTGGTGGGAGAGGATGTGGTTTGCGGTTATGAGGGTGGAGAGGAGGGCTGTTGTGTTCTTCATTGCTGGGGTAGGTTGAGGGCAGGTAATGTGACTAGAAGGAGAGGGATGTCAGATGGAACTACTTGATCAGTGCAGGGATTGTTGGCAGATATATTCAAGTACTTGGGCGGACATACGTCAAGTGGGTGAGCATCATCGTACAGCGAGGATCTCCGGATTATGACCCGTAGCGCGATGTTAGTGGTAGCCTATGATTGATCGGGTGGATGGCTACCAAGACGTGATTACCGTACATGCGCCACGATTTGAGACTTGCTTTTGCTATACAGCTGCAGTATTACAAAGATGTATTTGTTTGGAGATACAACATTATTTTACAAGGCTATGAGATCGTAATTGGAGGTAGAAACCGAGATGCCTCCGATGGTGAGAAGTGGTATATAGCGAAGCACGCAGAATCGTGCTGGAGTTGGGCGGTGACATCCGTTTCCAGATGTGACATCATGCTTCGTTGGGATGGGAAGATTGAGACGTAATGGTCGATGTTGTGTAACACCATTGTCGGGACGGCAAGCTCCATCCGAGGGGCAGCGAATGAGTTTCATCATCGACCGCCATTCATAGCGCCCTGGTTGAACTCGCTTGTTCCGTGGCCGGTGTTATTCGAGAAATCCGGAAGTACACCGTTCATGCTGATGCCGTCCTCATAGCCCGAGAAGCCACCGGTCATATCCGCCCAATCCCATTCCAGTGTCATTGGCATCTTCCATAGATCTTGTGGGACGTTATTCAGGGTCTGGTCGAACTGGCCCATGCCGGCCATGGCATTGATGTTTGCGTTCACGCCATTTATGTCACCGCCTGTCGTCATCGGTAGACTTTGTGATTGTTGGAGCATTTGCGCTGTGATTCCCGGTGAGCCGTATTGGCTCATTTGGATGTTGGGTTGTAAAGAGTCGTGCGTGAAGTTTGGTGAGAAAGGGAATGGCTGGACAAGTTAGCTTTGGTCTAGTACAATAGTGGTGTAGCTTACTTCGTTGAACCCATGGAAATCTGGATTGAAGATCATACCCTCCTGGGCGGGGGGATTTTGTGGGGTCGTAACTTGCTGAGGTGGGGATTGTGGGTTACGACCTGTCGAAAGAAGCTCAGCCGCGGTTGCTTCGATCTGAGCATCTTGTTCGCTGTCACCCTGTTTCCTCTTCCGCCGCGATGCGTGTTCGCGATCTGCCTTCTCCAGCACGATAGTAGCAATACGCTCAAATTCGGCGCAAACTGTGCACATGCGCTTAACACTGCCGCTGCCTTGGTCGTCGTTGAGCATATTGAGAAAGTTGACGACCAGTTTCATCAGCTTGAGGTCTGACCGTGATCGTGTGTCTTGTGGATTTTGTAGGATGTTGGCGAAGAGCGTAACCAGAGCAGTGACTGGGAAGTAGATCACTAGCCAGACACACGACAAGTCGCCTTTCGGTATGTACTTCAAAAGATGTATCGAAGCTCGGGCGGCTTGAACACATAATTGAGCGGACATGAAGACTCTGGGGTTCAGAGGGCGAGCGTTGAGACCTTGTATCGCGAAGTTGGATAATCGACTAGTCCAGTATCCGTGATGCACGCTCATGCGGTGAATGGTGGTCAAACAGTTGTAGTATCCGAGATGTAGTACTGCGACTTGAAGGATGAGTGGAGTGTGCGATGCTTTGATGTCGTGCTCTGGCCTGAACTCTAATGGTATGTCGTCCTTCCAGGCTTCCAACTCTTTGTCAAGTTCGCCGATAGTATTGAGCAGTTCACCATCGGTCTGCTTGGACGCTTTCACGGAATAGAGGCCCTTGTAGACTTTGCTTTGGATCACGGAGAAGGTGCACATAAGACGGAACAGGTTCATGGTGCCCTTTCCATCAGCGAGCGGGATGTTGCCGATATTGTCCGGTGGAGTCTCGCTCGGTAGCTCGACGTTCATGTCGTCGTCATCTTGTACAGGTGGTCTGCCAGACCGTAGACAGATACTTGTGGGGGTTAGTCTGAGTATGCTGGTAGAAGATTACAAGACTCACTCTTTGTCCAGCATGTAGGCAATCCAAAATACACGCCTTCGTTGCTCGACCTCGGCGGCGTTGAGACTGAAGTTGGCCCCCTTCTTGTGAAGACCAATACTATGTGCAAGTCGCATGGCGGTAGCAACGAAGAAGTAGGTAGGTTGTGGATTCGGCGTTCCAAGGAGGAAGAGACCCTGAAAACGTTAGATGAGAACATCGTCCAAGTCCGTCATTACATACCACTCCCAGTAAAGCCTGGACACTCAGAAGATCGGTGTTGCGCATGGTGAGCTCGACCATGACACTCATGGCGTTCTTCAGGTACTGCCACGCCTTTTCGTCTTCTTCTGCTGGAACAAGATTGCTCATGACGCGCAACCGATGTGCAAAAGCCAGAGCGACATTCAGACTGGCCCACCAGCCGGATCCTTCGTATGGGTCTTTCGAGTAGTGCTTGTCTACCAAGTGCATGAACGTCGGTTCGTGGAATAGAGGAAACATGCAGTTGAAGTTCTCAAAATAGTCCTTGAGTAAAGACAGAGCTTCGTGCTTGGGCGGTAGTTGTTTGTAGACGCGGCGCTTGAAGATGTCCTGGAAGACGTCAGGCCGCCATTGGATCCACTTGTTGTCCTCGACGGCGGCTGTGGAGATCATGTCGCGGAACGAGTTGTCGCCGGTCTTCTCGTTGACCCATTGTATGCCTTTGGGCGAGAAGATGGAGAAACCGGAGGAAGAACCTGAGATTGTTAGCGGTGAAGGCGACGGATGTGGAGGACGTACCAATATATCTGGTCTCTCCGCAGTTGTTCGTCACCAAGGAACACATCATCTCGGCGAGCGCGTCCTCTTCCTTGTCTTTGTCTTTGGTGGTGTCCATCTCTTCTTGGGGCTCTGGTGAGGCGGTGCCGCTCCTCGGACTGGGGAGAGCTGGCTGGGCCGGTGTGCCATTGGCGGTCGAGTGGCCTGTTGTGGGCGGTGCCATGGAGGCTCGTCTATCGTCGATGCTATTCCGGGGTGTAGCGGACCGCCCGGCTCGTGCCTCCAGCCGCCGCTCGAGTGTGGCCAGGTCGGTGCTGCCATCGTCGTCTTCGGGGAGGACACCGGATAGGCGCATCAGCGACTCCATGCGCGCCAGGCGGTTCTCCAGACCCTCGATGTACTTGGCGCTGTGCACGGTCAGTATGCCATGTGCGCAACACCACGGTCGCACCTACCCCTTTGGCGGTTGCCGCTTCTTCTCGACCTGGGTGAAGATGCACTCGGTCTTGTAGTTCTGGCAGTGGGTGCACGAGGGCATCTTGCCGTCGCACTTGATCTTCTTCTTCCGGCACATGTCGCACGCCTGCATCCTGTCAGCATGCCGTCGTCACCCGCAAGTCCACGCGCTATACCCGTGCGATGCGCCGCCGCTTGGGGTCGCTGTCGTTGTGGTCGTCGTCGTCGAGGTTGAACATGTTGCCCGGCGGCATCTGCGACGGGTCATAGGTGCCGCTGCCGAACAGACGCGGCGGCGGAGGGTTCATCATGGGCGGGCCGGTGGCATAGAAGCCGTTGGGAGGGGGGTTCATGGTGTATTAGGAGGCGCTATGTCGTCAGTCGTGAGGTCGTCGGGCAATTGGGCCCTCGCGGATATCCGGGGCGTGTTGGTGTTTTGTGAGGGCGGAGGGGTGTCGTGCTGGGGGTCTGACGGTCTAGTGCTGAGCAGGGTGAAACGCTGCCGAGGATCACATCTACAGGGCCCTGAGGGAGGGTGTCGCAGACTCGCCGAGTGTCGAATCGTGGCCGACGGTGAACGGGTGAGGCAGAAAGCTTGTTTGGCCTGTTGCAGATGCGCAACGCCCGCTAAAAACGGCAACAAGAGGATGGCGGTAAAGGTGATTAGTCGGCTGGCAGCAGCTGAGACGACACCTGAGGCAGCTTTCTTCTCCGCGTCTACTCTATTGACGGCCAGTCTAGAGAGCCGCGTCGTCCGTAGTTCGCGCGTCCAGCCCGCCTTAGTCAGACACGAGCCACGCCAGCTGGGCTGAAAACGGGCTAGCAGACATGACGTTGCGATATTGCTTCTCCCACGCGTTTGGCAGGTGAAGAACTTTATACGCCCTAGCAACTTTATTCACACAGCTAATTTCTTTGACATTCACCAGGCCAGTCTAGAGCATACTACTCTGTAAGCCTAGATTTTTCATTTTGGAGCTCATCTGTAAGCGCCTACCAAGAATAGTACGTCAGCATTCCTGGTCCCTTCCGCTTACAACGCTCGCGTACCTGTCGCTTGCCGGGATGCGCTATGGGCACACCGCTACCAAGAGACACATGCCGAGCGGCAGCCACACGACAACGTTGTCCACCCTGCTGCGCCACCACTCCCGTCGCATCCTCGCATCTCCGCCCCTCCTGACATTCCACTTGAACCTCTGACTAACTTTCCAGATCGAGGCTTGCACCACTACTCGCCATGGCGCCAATGACGGTCGAAGAGCTGCAGCAGCATCCTGAATTCAACCACACCATCTGGGACCTCGAACCAGAAAAGAAAGGCAAGGCCGTTGTGGCCAAAGACCGTGGCGGTCCCCTTAACATCGCTTACGAGGTCCACGGCCATGGCGACAGACACCTCGTGGTAAGTCGCCCCACTTTCGGTATTAATATCTGCTCCAACATGATGCGCTGCATATCACGCCAAAGAAAGCTTGTTCTTGACCGGGATGCATTTGTAATGTTCCTCTTCTACCAATCCACGGGTACCGGCACCCTGTCACCGTTTCGTTTCAGTCACAATGACCGTCTCAACACGTCTGCGTCGTGTCTCAGGTTGTCCAACTCGCACACTTATACATTTCGCTCAATAGCCGCTTCCGGCATCTTCCGTATACATCGTTATCGTGAAGACTCAACGACTGACGCCATGTAGTGGGTCATGGGCCTTGGTGGCATGAAGTATGCATGGCAGCGCCAGACGAAAGACTTCGCCCACAACAAAGGCGATCAGTACTCGTCGCTGGTGACGGACAATCGGGG